GTGTGTGTGTGTGTGTGTGTGTGTGTGTGTGTGTGCAGTGGGGGGGTTGCTAGGTTTTAGGTCATCATTATTATTTTAGCAAAAATTAAAAGCCGAAAGTGGCATAAGTTCCCCTGCTGACAGATGTGTTTGTCGTTTTTGTGCTGAAACAGTGTAGCACGATGACTTATGGCTGTTTTAGGGTATTAAAAGTTGTACCTCATTAAATGCTGAAATCCTTTCCTCATAAATCAAACCAATTACTCGATGCATATGTTCCATTAAACCCTATCAATCGTTGCACGTTTCATATTATTTCTATTATTATTTTCCTAACAAATGACGGTCTTTCAGTTAATTAAAGAGATAATTCTTATAAACATTGAATATGACTGTCCAGTTTAATTATTCAGTGATTTGTTGATGGTGTGTAACTAATGAAAATAGGATCAGGTTAAAACTGAAGTTTTTATTATTATTATTTACTGGGATGAGCCTGAACCAAGAATGCAAACTCTGAAAGAAGTTCTTCGATTCATTAGAAAAGTGGTTTACTTTCAAGCACTAGAGTCCAACTTTTTTTGTTCCATTTTCAATGTAAGATGACAAAGTGTAAAATACTTGAATATGCATGTAAGGTAAAGCATCCAAATGCAACATAACACTCTAAATATGGCCCCTCTTTTTCAGACACCAAAGCTGTTCTTCATTTTGCGTGTCTATCCAAGACAACTAAGCTGTAAACGAGAACAGATGATTAACTTGCTAACACTGTTTTATTCATTCAGTGGGCTGGTACCTGGTACAGGGCCACGTTCTCAGCTCAACAAGCTGGGAGACAAGGATCTGTGCTGTGTAGGTGTGGAAACCTTGAATCATCTACAGTACAGTGTATGTAACCCACAGAATGTGATCAATATTAATCATGAGGCGAGCTGGGAGAAAAGTTGAACACAATGCCGCGTCAGAGCTGTAGCGGCAGCAGAAGACGTGCCTGATCTGCGCACGTTTCCGTAAAGAGTTTTGGATTTCGTGCGAATTAAACTTCTGATATGTTAACTCCTTCAGCTAATTGGCTTAATCCGCGAGGATGCTCTTTAAAGACGAGCTGCTGTAGACACACAGCCTATGCTGGATCAGACAACTAAGCAAAATATCCTCTGCCATCTGCAGTGGGCAAGATGCATTTTCAGACAACAGTTCAAGGTTTTTACATGCCAGCTGATGTCGAAACAAATTACAGTGCCACATGTTTTACCAGAGGAAAAAAAAGGGTGAGAGAGAGAGAGAGAGAGAGAGAGAGAGAGAGAGAGAGAGAGAGAGAGAGAGAGNGAGAGAGAGAGAGAGAGAGAGAGAGAGAGAGAGAGAGAGAGAGAGAGAAACAGCAGTTTTAATTTGAAAAGCAGGCTGAGTTTATTTCTTCTTTTGATGTGATCAGACACATTTTCATTTGTGTACATTAAAGCTGTATTGCGTGGAGACTTTCCTTGTTTTTCCTGCCTCCAAAGAAGTGCAGAGCTCGAGTTGCCAAATCCCGTCTTTTGTTGTCGTCTCTTTTTATACACAAATCAGAGTTCCTTTAAAAGTGATCACATTAAAAAACTTTCCAAGTGGTCTAATTTGATTACCTTTGTTGAAGATGCCAAGGGCTGGCTGCTAATAGTCTCCATGTTCTTCCGGTAGCGGGTGGAAAGGTTAAGGATGGCGGCTGTCGCCGCTGCGGCCTGCAGACCGTCTTCTTTCTTGAATTGACTCGACGGGCTGTGCTGACCGGAGATGGGCAGGCGGCCACCTGGAGCTCCAAGAACGCCGGGATACTGCTGAGGTGCTAAAAGACAAACAATTAGCAGAGCATTTAGTTAGTGGGACACCAGGTGTTAAACCCAAACAGCAAAGTGGTGAGAAAACCAAGTTTTATGGGTTTCTTTGCAACTTCAGAAACAAACATGAATTTCAAAAGATGAGAGATGGAAGGGTTACTTACAGTCAGGGTACTGCGACATATCCTGGTCCTGGCTGGTCCCAAGCAGTGGCTGCTTACCAAAGACCTGTGCATCAAAGCTGGCGTAATCGAATCGAATTCTGCTGTACTTGTCCACATCTTTCACAAGGCTATTTTGCAAGGCTGCTACTGGATGCGAGAACCTGTAGTTCAGCTGGTTCATTTCAAATTTCTTTATCAGGCTAATGGTCCTGCAAGTAAGCAAACAGAGACATATTTCAATGCACAAACGAACTGTGCAGGAATAACTGTGGAAAACAAATGAGTTCACATAAAATGTAGACATTGTGTTTGACCGTTGAGGGATGCCAGTGCTTTTGTACACATGCAGTCTGGAATCTGATGTGTGTTGTGGATCCACAGTCAGGTTGCCAGACTAATTAATATAGAAGGAGTGGGCACCCTGCCCATGATATATCCACAGGGAACAAAGAGTTCTGCTCTTTTATCATCTCTAATAGAGAGGAACTCACAGGACCAGCTACCATCGCTTATGTCTGCTTGGAAGGCTCAAATTAGATCGTGTGTTCAGCTTGGATTCATGAATTTAAAAAAAAATACTTCACTCGGTCCTCAAATTGCCTTTTAACGGAGCTAAACTTTAAATATTTGTTTGACCGTCCTGAGAGCAGCGAACATCTCGAGCATCCTACCTTGGCGAGCGCTCCGGTGTTTGTCTGCATTTCAGGCTGTCATCTTGAGGTTTGGAGACCTTCACGGCGGCGGCGATGGGGCAGCCAGAGAGACTGGTTGGGAAGGAAATTAAACACATTAACCTAATACAGTATCCCATCTGCAAACAGGGTGCAGCTTTTCTAATGGCTCATTCGTGCGGCTGTACCTCCGGTGGGTGCTACGGTTGCTGTTGACATGGCCTCGTCCTGTGCACCCAGGTGTAGGACACTTGAGGACGTTTTCATGCATGGCCAGAACTAAGGGAACAAACAGATTGCCCGTGCTTGAAAAAACATTTAAGAAACTATTTGATATTTGAAAAAAACAATTAAGTTTAAAGATTTGAACTGTTGTATAAGAAGAACTGAAAAAAAGAGCACATAATTCAATGCTTTAAATGATAAGTTACATAGCTGGTACATTAGAGCCTATAGAGAAAAGATCCTACAGACAGAGAGGAGAGGAATAAGAAAACAGCTTGCTTACTGTGTTGAAAACTGTAATGTAAATAGCTTAGCGCAAAAAAAAAAAGGAGCAAAGCAAGACAGCTGATTATATTCTTCAAACCAAATGCGTTGTTAAAGGTCCGCTCTGTATCCTTAGAAACTTCCCTTCTGTACATATCCTCCAATTAGTTTGCTGGAGTTGTCTATTTATTTTTTTGAATTCTGCGCTTGCGAGCCCTTTGATTTGCAAATACTGCCTCCAGTCTAAGAGCATGTGCRTTTTTGAAAAAGTTAATTACTTTTTCTGTTCCTTTTGTAACATTACTGTTTAATGTCGGATGTTTGAGTTTACCRAAATGACTAAACAATCGCCAGTTTGGGAAAAAATGAAAAAAAGAATTCAACATTCAAACATTTCTACACATTACGAAGGGGAGGGGGGAGGAAAATCTTTTAGGTTTATGTGTATATGTGTAAAGTTTTTGTAAATCTTTGTATTCAGAGCTGAAGACATATAAGCAGGCTTTTTTTCTTTTTTTCTTTTTTTTTTTTTGTCTTTGCTTTTCCACTAAGAGGATTTCAGTTATTGCGGCTGATTGTAAAATGGTAAAAGAAGCAGTTTTGGGGAGTAGAAACCACCCACTTTGCTGCACACAGAGCTGTTTTAGAGACTTACTCTCTGGGGGAACTCGGACTTTGTGAGGACACCCAGACAAACTCCTGTGATGTGGGTACAGGCCTGTCACGTGACCAGTCCCATCACAGCCGGGAGTTGGACACTTTATATCCTTTTTATCCATCCGTGGAGAATCTGCAGACACAGTAACAGACTTCACATTGAGCAAAACTACAGATTGTTATTTTCCTGTCTCAAATATGAATTTAAATATTTAAAAGAAATGAACAACTAGAGCTTTTGAACGTTCTCCTAAATAAATACAGTAACATTCATGGTCAAAAGATTGAAATGTTTTGCAAAGACAGACACTTTCTCTCACATGCATTTATTAAGCTGGCGTTTTAGTTAAGGCAGTTTAACACAGAGAATTCACTTCTTAATGCCCATCCATCGAAAGATTACATCTGGGATTATACATTTATCTGCAGTCATTTGAAGAATCAGAGGGAAACATGAGAGGTACTTTAGGAGGATTTAAGACTTATGGTCATGGTTAAATATCCAGTTGATTCCTATCAAAATCCAATATTCTGAGTAGCACCAATTCCATAACAAAAATTGTTCTTCTTTATTTTAGTCTGTTTATTTATTACTTACCATGTCGCCAAAATGTTTTTTTTTCAGTCCTTAAGAGGATTTCCACCCTCTGATTCCCCCAACCCCCTGCATATGCTCCTTTTTCTTTCAATGTTTTTTTGAGCACCCAATCTTCTAAATCGCAAGGGGTTTGTTTGACTTAGATGTAGCACATGTGTGAAGCTTCGGCTTTTCCATTCTCAAACAGGGTTCAGGGATTCTGCAAAAATGTTGTGATCAATTGTTATCGTACTTGTTGTAGATGGTTGTTTGAATGACCTCAGTTTTTAAGAAACCGTTTAATTCTGACTGGATTGTCATTTTAAAACAATGTCAGTTTCAAAGGTTTTGTTGCGGTCAGAAAAAAAACACGATTTTCTAAAAAATTTTTTTGTCAGTTTTGCATTATTTATATAGAAGTTTATGGTTGATGCACAAATACCACCTGCGGCGGCAGCTTTAAAAACTCCCGCTTTAAGCACTGCCTACAGGAACATATTATTTCTGCCAGAATAACAGTGTAATGCAAAATCATTGTTAGATTTATTTGAAGATTTATAAAATGGCACTTGAGAGAATTGCTATGAAATTTTTGAGATTAGAGTTGTTTTAAGGTGATCCGCTCGGGTCGTGACCCCGCTTAGCTTCCCAACCTGGGGCGGGGGGGGGGGGGGGGGGGGGGGGACGCTAGAGAGCACAGGTTATGTTCATGATGTGCTTTATAAAACTACCAAAACAAGTCCATTTAAATACTGTAAGCTACACTCTGTACAGCTCAGTTCTTTTATTTATTTATTTTTTCCAAATAAAAGTTTGGAACTATTGACTTTATTATTTTGATAAAGAGATAGTTGGCATCTTTGGGAGAGTAGTGAAGGATGTTGGTCTTAGCTTGGCTTAAAAGTAAGAAAGGATGGTTTTGACAAAAATAGGTTGGGAACCACTGGTCTAGCAGTCGCATCATCAAACTATTCAGAATCAAACTCTGTTTCTCCAAATGGAGTTTTTGCAAAGTGCTTTCAACATTGTGTTTTTTAGATCAGCATATCTCAAGATATTCCCTTCATTTTGATACCTTTCCCTCCGCTGTAGCTGAGTCTGTTGTCCATGTCCATCATCCTTTGGTGCCTTCTCTCATTGGTCATCTGCTCCAGGAGGAACTGGTCCATTTCTCTGTAGGCGTGGTGCAGAACCTGCCTCTGCTCCGTCTGCAGAGCGATGGCCTGTTCCAGCAGGCTCAGGTTCACTCTCCCTCGGCTCATATCGAGGCCTCTCTCGTGGAGGCCCATCGCCCAGCTATCCAGCCGAGGCAGCCGCTCCGCCTCCCCCTCGCTGTCCTCCTTGTTGGGGAGCAGCCTGTACCTTAAAGCTTCACCTTGAAAAATACTTCCTCGACCTATCGGACCACCTAATTCTGGAACAAGCTCCTTCCCATGGCTGTTCCTGCCTAAAAGGTCCTCCTGAGCTCTGGACGGGCTGCAGTTTGAGCTACTGTCCTTAGCAGACAGGGACAGTGGCTCCCACTCAGGTTCCCTCATGTCTCTGTACGGGCTCTGTGGTGTTGATGCATCGCTCATCCTGTCGTGACTTTGGTCCTCTTCTTGATTTTTGAGAATCTCTTCTTCATCTTCCACCATCAAAGATTCAGACGTGTCTGGCTCGCACTGCGGAGATCCATTGGACGTGACTTCGGGCCAACTGAGCAAACTGCTGGATGTTAACACTGCATCAGAGCAGCTGTTTTTGTTGCCCACTCCATTGACTGTCTTAAAGTTTCCATCTAAAAAAACAGAAAAAAACAATACCTATTATTTTATGTGCTGCAGCCCTATAGAATGAAGTGTTTTGACCCTTCAGTCACATACATGTTAAGTACTGGTAATCTTCTGCTAATCTTTTTAAGGTTTTAGATTTTGTCTTACTTCTTTATGAATATTATCTTGAGAAAAACATGTTTTTAAAACCATGAGGATTTGTAAGAAAACACTCAGCAACAAGATGACATCCCACAGTCATAAGGTTGCGAGATTTTCAGGCCATTCAGACATATTTTAAACAACATTCCTATTTGTTCGACATGAAACCTAAACATACGGAGCACAAACGTTTTTCCACTTCGTTGTTGTTGTCTCCATTTGGAGCAACAACTTGATATAGATTTAGTGCAAGATTATGAGAGGATTTACAGCGCATGGAAAGAAAACAATATTTTTTATTAGTTACACGTGTTTTTAAGTGCAGCGGCATGTCCTTTCACAAACCTAAAAATGATTGCGAGGATAAGATTAAGAAAAGTAAAAAACGATTCAATAACACATAGAAATGAACGGAGAAAACTGATTTAGGAGAAGTCATGAATTTAGTAAAACATATTTTGGGGGATATTTTAAAGTGTTAAAATCACAGCAGACAACAGCTTAACCATTTGTATATTTAGTAAGTATGACAAAAATGCTRTTATTTTATTTATTTTGAATATTTTTTGTTTTTTAATAATAATAAAACACATTCTACTGTACATTTTAGATTAAACTGCTAGCTTTTAAAACTTTAAATAATCACAGAAACCTGGTAAAGAAATTAAAATGATTACTTATTAGCAGACAGAAACTTAAATTAAAACATTTGTTTTTATGTTGAAATGTTCCAATTATTTTATAGTCAAATATGCAGGATTTACTTTCTGTATTAGAAAAGTTTTTGTTCGAATCATCTGTTTTATTGTTATATTTAGTTTATGTTCATTAATGTACTAAATAATAAAAAATATTTATCTCCTATTGTCACAAGTTTTGGTTGGACTGAACAATATTAAAAGTGGTTGATCTCATTGGTGTAAAATTATTAAACACACCTGCCAGGCAAATTAAGAATGTTAATTAGTTATAAAAGTTTTAGCTGATTAGACAATAGCTTTAACTCGAAAGTCCCATTTCTGTTCTTTAATATGACTTGTTCAGCTCTTAGTTTTATTTTGTTTTAATCTAAGTGACATATTTAATTCTAATACTTACAGATTAATATAAATTGGTATCCATTTGGTCCTATCACCCTTACATTTTACATCCACTTTTAGTTTCTTTTTTATCTTGAGCTTATATTGCTAAGTGGTCTCAGTAATTTAATTTGCATTGACCTCAAGCTCTTTTTCTGTAAAAAATAAATCCCAGAGATATATTCAGAAAGATTTTGGGAAGCCTTAATGTTGAGCTGTTGAAAAGTGACAAAGAGGGTTATCTCTCAAAGTGCATCTGAAACAACACTTTATTAACACGGCTGATCACGSTAAGTCATGGTCAGTGATTAATAATGGAAAGCTATCATCTGAATTGATTCAACCAAATCTCTCTTGATCCTCAAACCGTTTAAACTTATGCTGCATTAAAGCTCTTTGGACAGTGGGGGGTGTTACTTTGGGTTCACTGAACTGGAGGTCTTTATATCCACTTAAGTAGCCCAACATTAGAGTCCAAAGCAAAAGTAGGATTCAGTAGATTGAGAAGATTTATAGAGATGGATTGTGAGAATCAGCTCACACGAGGCAGCTGACGATATAGATACGGCATTGGCAGAAAGCTGCAACTTAATAACGAAAAAAACTTAATCCTGACCAAAAGAGCTTTAAAAAAGCAGGAATTATATGGTGCTCATAAAACAAAACTAACTATTTAGGAAAATACTGGATTTTGTGCATTAAGTATAACATAGGTTTACTTATTTTCTCTCTCTCTCTCTCTCTCCAGCAGCTTTAAACAGCATCCATAATCCCCATAGAGAAAAGGGAAAAAGTGTCTAAAAGCAAACCTTGTTGAAAGATAAATTAAAGTCAGTTACACATATTTACATTTATCAGGCAAGTAGCAAGGCTTTTTGTTTTTCATCCAGATGGACTTTCAGGCCTAACACAGCCGCATACAGTCAGACAATCACACACACATACACACACACACACACACACAGAAGTGCAGGGAGAAAAAATGGAAAGCAACGGAGGAAAAAAACTTGGATCCCTCCGGTGGTTTGTGTGTTGGAACAGGTGAACAGTTTGTACTCCAGAATAGCCATTACCAGCACTCTGCAGCAGGGCTGCAGTTGGCTGGAGCTGAACGCAGCGTGGCTCAACAAAACAAGAGGCTTATTTTTCTCCCTTTTTTGTTAAAATGCGGATATGACCAGCTTCTCGCTGCAAAAATTCTTGCTGCTTCCAGTCCGCTTTTCCAATTTTTTGTTTTTCCACAGAAAATAGTCCCGCAAATCTGACAATAACAGCAAAATATGCTGCAAATATGTTTATCAATATTCTCGTCCTTTTTGTGACAGATTTCTTTTTTTTTTTGTGCTAGCTGATTTTTTTTTTTGAGAACAACTCCTCTTAATTACAATTTCACATAAGAGTCAGTAAATGATAAAAAGAATCAGGAATACATTAGAACAAAAAAGGAAAACCTGACGATGCACTGTGAAATACCAAAATGATTGTAACGTAACATGAACCTGACAAACAAATAAATTCTTTTTACTAATAAATCCACACAATTTGGTGAGCGACTCTCCGGGTCCATTTAACTACACACATGTGTACTATAATGAGCTGAAGACATTATGCCTAATTATGTATTAGACTGTGTTAGAGGGCCTAACAAAAGCTTTTGAAAGGGACAATTACGTTTGTTGCTTAGTTACATCGTTAAAAATATACCAAATCAGGGCAGATTATAGTGGGCGAGAATGCACATGTACACCACGAGGGTTGTTGCCAAAATGCACAAAATTCGGCTAATCTAGAAAAAAAAAGGGAAAAAAAATGTTTGTGTTTGTAAATAAACAATTTAAAACTGATGTAGATGAACTGTCTCTGTGAGTAAAATAAATAAATCTAAAAAAAAACTAGACAGCATTGGGGTTTCCCATTTGGGAACTCCCATAAATAAATGTCAAAAGAAAGTTTAATTTAAATCAAAGTGAGCTGGTGCACGCCTCCATTCAGTTTTTCATTGTATGGATTCAATGGGCTTCTTCAGGCGTTTCAAAAAAAAAGMAAAAAAAAAAAAAAAAAGGACAGATGAGGGTGTCTGAAATCTGGCCTCATCAAAAGAGGGTAAAGCCACGCCAAAAATATCATGGCAGATCAGCTGTCAAAACTTCAATTTGTGGACGTGAGACACAACTAATACGGGCCCAGCAGTGTAGTCTTTCACTTCCACTGCACAATGACTGCGGCTGCTGGCTGACGGCAGAGGGAGGGAAATATGAATGCAACAGATGGGATTTTAAAATTCAGCGTCAATTGTTCATCAAAACAGACAAAACAACAGGACATCTGTTTACCTGCTGGAGTGTCAATGTTCCTCAGCTCTTCTTTGTCCTGTGGCGGTGCCAGGTCCTCGCTCTCCTCTTCACATGCCTCGCTGGGGCTGTAGTGGCGGGGCTTCATCAGCAGGGACTTTCTCTTATTGACTGGGGCACCCTGCACCCCATCCTGAGCGCTCCTCTTCCTTGCCGCAGTCCCATATGGGCTGGTTGAAAAGAAGAAGGAAAAAAAAAGTCAGGGTCAACAAGGGGCCTTGGGATGCTCTTTTCAATTAAAGAAACTAAATTTGAAACTTATTTATTGCATGTTAAATGTCTCGTCTGAGATCTGGAAAGAAATTTACATCCTGTCAAAGCATAAGAATAAAAATAAATAAATAAATAAAAATCTTACCTCTGAGTGTCAGTGTCGATCACCCCTGAATAAAAGAAAAAAAAAACAAAACAAACAAAGACCAAGAAATAAAAGATCAAAAGTCCTGTTTACATTTCCACCACAGTGGCACAGCATCTGTCAGCGTATTCTTCATCAACGCTTAACTCACTACTTTTGGACTATTGCTAATGAAAATTTTTACAATGTCATGTAAATATTTGTTTTGAATGATATGACCTGGGCCAATACTAGCCTTTTACCGCTGACTTTTTTTTACAATACCACCTTATCAGTACAATCGGCAGACGGGTGTAGGAGTGGACTCTTTATTGATCTAAAAAAGCTTCTCATTCAGGCTGCTCGTTCTCCTGGAAAAGCCAAAGTGGCTCATCCTTTGGACAGCACTGACAACATGATCTGAAAGGGTAAATCAATTTCCCCAGAGGGGTGCCCTCCCGCGTAAATCTCATTCACAAGTTCCACCACGACTCCCGTGAAGCACGACCAATAATAACACTTTTTATGAATTCACCCAGATGTGGTAATAGCTCCGTCGCGAGCAGGAAGGCCTCAGAGGCCCCTGAACGCTTGCATAATGACACATATTCAGTTTAGAGGTTTTCAATCACACACACACACACACACACACACACACACACACACACACA